TGAATATATTTACATGTTCTCCTCCCACAAGACGCACTTTTGCGTGTAAACGCCCATATTGCATATTCATTGCAGAAAAAGTACTAAATGGATAAGAGACGCTATTTAGCACGTTTTAAAGACCAAATCCTTTTAGCACGCTGTTGATAGATCAGTTTGTACATTTTTTAGCGTGCGCAGTGAAATAACTCACGTTTTTATACACACAAACCTTTGATAGATCCGGCCCATTGTTTCAGTCAAGTAGAAGTAACAAGTAGTCATCCAACTTGAGTACTTGGTAACTGTTTGATAATTACATTAGTTTAATCTGAAAAACTCACACGAAGAGAAAAGACAATTAGGAGAAATTTATTGATACAGTTACTTTGTCTTTGGCACTCAGACCTCGGCAGGAAACATAGCGCTGAATAGCGATAGATATGCATGAACAGGAGCAAAGAACAGGGCTGTTTCCCCCAGACCTGAAACTGGGGGTGGAGTGGAGATTGATGAAGTTGGTCAGTCTCTAGACTGCTGGTTAGCGAGACGGAATGCTGAGCTTTATGGGGAGATCCAGTGGACTGCGTGAGCTGATACTAGAGCTTCACTCAGGGACCTGAAAGATGGAAGTCCAGTTGGATAACACAGGTTGAGAGAACCTTCCCATTATGAGCAAGCATGAAGCGACAGTGGAGAGGAAAAACTCCCTCTGGCAGAACCAGGCTCAACATGGTGTTCTTCTGCGGGACCGGTTGACATCAGACAGGGAACGCAGTAAGAGTCCAGTAGGAAAGAGACTCTGATTAAGCTTTAGCTACGATGGTGGAGGAGGGGCTGGAGATGAGTTGAAACGGTGTCATCTGAATAAAGTCACACAGTGCATCCACCGCCTGCGCGCAGGAGCAGACAGTGCGTATCGGAGGCCTTTTAAGATGAACTTTGGATATCGATTGGCTTTTGTGGAGGTGTGTTTGAAAGCTGATTGGTTGTGTCGCAGGTGGATGTAGGAGAGAAATCAGTTTCTTCAGTTGAACTTCTGCCTAGCCTCCATGTTTAATGTTTATGAATCATGCTGGCAAATAGATTATGTTTAAGTTCTGTCATTTTAAAGACTCAAATGCCAAAGGAATACAAATAAATGTCATGAATATACACGAAAATATTTGTGCAGAAGTGAATACTTTGACTATTTTGTTTTTACAACATAAAACTTAGAAAACCAATCCTTACAATGAGAGCTGTATATATGTTAGGACAGGGTAACAAACTTCCACTGTTAATATTTACAGTTTATACAGGACAGAGTTGTTAGAGATTTTACTCAAGTAAAAGTGGCAATACAAAGTAGGTCCAGCACAGTAAACCTACTCCAAAAAATACTTTTTTTTCAAATTGTTACTCAAGTAAACGTAACAGTAAATAAACTAATTACTACCCACCTCTGCTAATATCTTTGTCTACTTTGCTCCCTCCAGAGAAGGTGATGGCAGAAAGGTGCTTCGCTCCAGCATCAGAGAGTTCCTCTGCAGTGAAGCCATGGCTGCCCTTGGGATCCCCACCACCCGAGCTGCCTCACTTGTCACCTCTGACCTTTACGTCAGTAGAGATCCTTTAAACAATGGTCAACGGATTGAGGAGCGCTGCCCAGTGGTCATGCGTCTCGCTCCTACTTTCATAAGGTTTTGTAACTTCTCTGTGGACATGACGGCAGTTTTAGCTCAACAGAAACTTTTAACATGAGTTCTCTGTGTTGCTTCTCTCATTTTTCAACTAACAGGTTTGG